AGTTATTTAATAGATCTACTTATTATTTGTAATCTTACAGAAATTATGTTTTCTTTATAATTGTACATACACGTACACGTTTTAACGAGAACTTCTGTACTCCGAGGTGTCACGTGTTTAAATAAAGGATTGATTGATTGAATGGATTGATTGATTGTTGTAGCTCAAGACGGCGAGTTTTTGAAGATCCTACGGGCTCTTCGTTTGCTGTGGCGTCTAAGAGTACTGGAAATATCGCTGGTTTGCACTAAGTCTGTAAGGATAACATTGTCCTAGTATAGCTTAGTCACGAAAATGTATATTGTAAACGTTTAGAGGTAGCAACCCCTTAATCTCTAGTTTATTAAAACGGAAGTTTTAAACCGCACACGTAGGAGAAAAACACCTCAATCTGAAGGTTATGGAACTTTCAATTAACTCTTTGACCCRCCAAGACTGTCCAATTTCCCTCTGCCATACACCCCAAGTCACGCATTTAGGTCACGAAAACAAAAAAGTCTTTACCAACTATACAAGCTCTTGATTGAAAAACAAATTCTCTTTCTCAGCACCTTAGGAAATGTTTCCATAACGGTATAGAGAATATGCAAACTGACGTTAGGCCTTAAAGAGTTATTCAGTGAGGGACCGGTCATGTGATCCTTCCCACTGATCTCGAACGTTTTGCGTGTAAAACAAACACAATGAAAAACCGCACATCTTTTGAAAAAAAAAATCAATCTTACGCGGCCAATTCCAATTGGTATAATGCTGCTGACCTCTACTGCTCAAGGCGAAACAAAATGGAAATGCATCGAGATCCACCACTTAAAAATCAATAACGTGATCTTCCGAAACCTCCCAAATATTGCACTTGTTTCGACATGCGTTTAGCGTGGTGAAGCGTTGACCTCCGACGTTCACTTCGAGGTAGAAGTCTTGCATGCGGCAATTGTAAAAATTGTCTCACCCTCTATGGATACAGCTGGAGTGATCAAGTTATTTGCTATGAAAGCTACTAATACATTTCTGTGGTTATAGAACGTTCATTTCAACCTTTCACCCAGACAAAAAAGTAACCGCAAGCTGGATCTAAAAATTTCATTCAGGATCATTTCCCGCTGTTTATTGATACAAGGTCTCTTCCCTTAAAAATGTATTTTTTGGAGCGGATTAAAGCCACGAAGACAACGTGGAGACTTAAACACATGCGGTTCGCACACATGCGGAATCGTGCTCTATAACCGGTCGTTCAATCAGTTTACTTAGACGAAAAGTATCTATTCTTTTTCCTGAGATGATAAGAAATCACAGCAGTTTGTCATTACTCTAATGATTATTCCATGTATATTCTCCCTACTGTTTGTCTTTGCCAACAAAGGGCGGCAGTGTAATCATGTGTCACAAGAAAAAGCTTTTTTCACTACCCTCATCATCATCGTCATCAATTAAGGTTTATTCGCTCTTTCGCCTGTTTTCTCCACCATGTAACCTAAAGTGCAGTTATTCTTTCAGTTACTAAAAATTCTTCTTTGACGAATTGCACCTCTTCTTCTTCTTCTTCGGAGTCAGTTTGTTGTTTTACGCACGGCATCAGTGATATGATCGACGCACCCGCTATCAGCACCGCACCCGCACTGTAAAATGGGATGGCGTATGAGCCAAGCTTGTCAGCCATCATACCTGCACACACAAAAAATAACGCAAACTTTAGCCATGTGCTCCCAATCCTTTGGGCAGATCACAAACAATAGAGCACATTCTATTAAGTTTGGTAAAACCAAAATTAAAGTATCTCCAACAGGTAATCAAATCACAAAGTGAAAACAGCATACTTCATAGAGGAAAAGCCAGAGAATTAAAGAAGAATAATGCATCGACCAATGAACGATTAAACATTCACTTGTCATTTATCGTCAAACCCACGATGAGCAAAACATAGTTTTAGAATCAGGGAAGCTTACCGGCCAATGGGGGTCCAATGGATACCGTAACGCCTATGAAGAAACTCAAGTAGCCCCAAGCTTGATTGAATTGGCTTTGTTTGACGCATTTTAAAAGTAGGAGAGAGATCTGCCCCATTGAGGATCCTTCCATGAAGCCGATCACTATGAAAATCGCTATCACTGATCCATATGACGCTGCTGATGGAAGAAATATGACACACAATCCGCTGATTGTCATACCTCCCTGGTATAAATGGAATCTGTTGAAGTGTCGACGAAACTCTCCAAGTTTGCAGAAGAAATGACGACTGAAGAAGGATGCTATCGCCAAATATATGAAGAGCATAGACGCTTTGTCTCCAGAAATGTTTAGTTCCTGTTCGCAGTGCTTAATCTGCAGAGAAATATGTAGTTGTTTAGTGGCTTGCGTTTCAATGCCATTCAACGGTTTTTCAAAGCATTTTCAGCATAATTTGAGCGACTAACCACGACTTCCTGAGCCTTACGAAGCAATGATATGATAGGATAATTTGGTTTTATCCCTGATTAATTTGATAATGTAAATTGGCCACCGTTAACTGAGTTTAAAAGCTGGTCACTGGCATCAATCGCATATCATAGATCACTCCTCCTGTAATAATAACAATCTCTATAGTATGATGACACTTACAATGTGTACGGTTGGAACATAGAAGCTCAAATTAACAACCATGAACGAAGATAACAGCACAAGAAAAGGACGATTTCTTAAAAGAGATAAATCTCCTTTTTCCTCTGCTTTCTTATCTGCAACCATGCTACCCTTGTTGTTATTTGAGCGGTCCACAGGTACAAACACCAGCGAACACAAACCGCATAGCAAATAGAAACCTGCAAATCCTCTTAGCGTGCCCTGCCATCCAATTGTATCCAGCAAGCCTTGGGTGACTTGAGTAATAACAAGCATGCCTATGGCTGACGCGGATGCCATTATACCAACGGCTAAAGAAAGCCGTTTGACGAAGTAGTCCACGATGGCTACCATACAAGCGTTGTAAATCATTCGATGGCCAAAGCCTGACAAGAGTCCATACGTAGGGTACATCATCCACAGTTTAGGAGACAAAGACGCAAGAGAAAATCCAGTGATCCCTGCTAGGGCACCCACGATGGCAGTGACCCTGTGGCTAAAACGATCGCTGATAAGAGAACCCAGAGGACTCGAGACATAACCAAAGCCGAGGTTTAACGATCCGATCCAGGCTGAAAATAAATTTGCGTAGATGCTTTTAAAATAGTGACTTTGAAATCATGTAAAATAGCTGGAGAGATAGGGTTAAATGCTAGCTAACTAAACTTTCATCATGTGAATTAAATTCATGTTGTAACGCTGTCTCAAAAATCCGTTTCTACCCTCTGAAGGGGAAACATGCCCCAGAAACAAGGGCGTAGCCAGGGGGGGTCCTGGGGTGCCCGTGACTCCCCCTGGGTAGGTCTTCTTTGGAACAAACAACCTACAATATTCAGGTGGCGAAAACGCCATGACAATATCTTGACCGTAAAAGCCATTGAAGAAACCCCAGCTAAATGAAGACTAAAAATAACCATATCAACCGAACATCCCGAGTGTGCTTGAATACTAGCAAGAGGAGGATAAACTGTTCACCCCGTCCCCGCCCCTTGTTCAATAAAAACAGAGCCTAATAATAAAAAAAGCGCAGGGGGCAAAAGTTCATTCATGCCGCGATAATATAACTGAGCCCGCTGATACACGCGGGAGAGCAGCGGTGTAAATGGTGAGTAGCCTCTTTGACCCCCCTTTGAGAAATCCTAGCTACGCCCCTGAGAAACGATGTTTTCTTAACCGCTCCACCGTTGGCAACTATCAATTATTTGGGCAATCGTTGAAGACAGTAAGATGTCATTCAGTTGTCTTAAACACTGTTCTTTCGAACGCAATGCAGAACGATTTTCACACAGGACCGGACATTCTAGTACATCGCATGCCTCAGCGACGAGTGTTACTTGAAAATATTTAGCTCATTAGCTCTCAGAGGTAGAAGATCGGATCGCGAAATCAAAAGCTATGAGTTAAGAAAGCACGAGGGATAAGGACCCATATTTTTAAAGTGCGAGACGTCGTACGCGTATATATACATCTATATATCTGGAGATTGAAGTAATCAATAAGACATTTTAATTAAAATCTGTCTGATGATCGCGTAAGCGTCAAACTCAGAGTCACAGAAATAGTTATGTCTTGTTGATTATTAGTTCAATCTTCAGATATACCACGCTCTGCGAACGCATCGAGCACTCTACCGCAAGGATAGACTATAACCAAGATTTATACATCTGTATATCACGTGTAAATCCCTCCACCTTATACCTCTTGTTTTTGTAATTCAAAGCTATTGATTTAGATATATCTATTAATTAAATTTGCAAGTTCCAATATCGCATTTCTACGGCCTGACTGGCTTACTCAACTCCGTTTATCAGCTCTTGTAGGGCTGAAAAAAGGCTCCAAATATCCAAACGTTCAGCATTCAATGAAATTTAATGCAACAATTAATTCGATTCTATTCGCCCTTGTTGGATACAAGACTGGTCAAAGCTATTTACCATCTCCTATCCAACGCACGCTCATGACATAATTGTTTTATTAAAGACGTTAAATCAAATTATTAAATTTTATTAAAATTTTTAACTCCCTTTTAATTTTAAGCTGACGCGTACGCTTACTATATTTGTAGATTATGGTATATTGGCTCATATACCATAATGGCGAAGCCAATAAAAAGTCTTGAATTGCATTATCCAATGATCGAGTTTTTAATAATTGTAAATACTTTTTATGTTTCATTACCTGTAGATTGCCTGGACGCTCCAAAGTTCTCCATCAGAGGAGGCAGGAGCAAGCCAAAGCTGTACATGATACCCGATACAATTATAACTATGATTGTCGAAGCCACACACACTAACCATGACCAACAACTGTCGGAACGGCATTTAGGTTCTTTTTCCAAAAGCTTTTGACTTTCTTGGCCGCAATCTTGATCATGTGAGGCCACCATGATTGTTTTCTCAATGCACTACAAAGAAATCATTTCTTGAGTTGATATATCTGACATCAACACAGAAAAATTTTCATTCACTACTAAGATGAAAGGGCTAAAGTTATCAGTAGTTGTACATCGAAATTGTCAAGGGAATTAAGCTTAGTTTAGTGGTACAGTTTCAGTTGAACACTTTTTTTTACCTGTTATTCTCAGTCGTTTTAATTACTTATTGTGTCAAGCCAAGAAAAAATGTTCGGCGAAAAAGAAGCCTTAGAAACGTTAAAAACTTACCCCCTGTTATATAACTAGTTTGATTCACGTGCGAGTTGGAAGTGTAAGTGTTGCGTGCACGTGCACGTGCACGTGCACCATTAGTCACTTGAAGAAAATTTAAAAAAAAAGGGTAAAGGTAGGCAAATTAACGTTGTTCCTAAAATTCTCTCCAATAGCGTTCGTTAAATTTTCCTTCATCACAGCTTTACAAAAAGGTTTTCATAGAATAAGAGTATCTATGTACGTGTTGAAGATTTTACATCACAAATAAGCCATTTCCGAGTTCTGAATACTACCACTTTTTCTTTGAGAATGAGACAAGATGTTTAATCTTTCTTGTAAATTAAGCACTAAGTTCAGAAAACCCTTGAACTAAAACTATGTCATTTGAACACTATCGCTAACAAAAAGAGATCTCTAAAATGTTGCTTCTTAAGCTCGTCTACGAGTAGGGTAAGTTTCTATAATCGCTCACGTAATACGGATGTCTGGTGTAAGAACAAGCTATATCACTTACCTTTCTATCGCTTTCCTCCTTCAGAATAAACCATAACTACTTTCTATCGAAAGGAACATCAATTCTCTCTGCAGAGCTTAATGATAGTTGAAGTTCAAATGACAATCTAGCCTTAGAACCCAGCGACGTCATTGCTTGTTCCAGACGTTCTTTGCTGTCCTGGGTCTGGTTATAATAACTTCCGCTCGATAGAGTTCATATTGCAAGGCAGAGACAATTCTCCGTGACAACAAGAAACGTCAACCCAGTGCGCTATTGTATTCCGCTGACGCGCGGATTTGGAAACTGATAGGCTGAAACGGATAGGCAATTTAATGAGGAAACGAAAATACATTTCTCAGCAGACGTTTTCGTAGGTAGCTTATGATATTCGGTTTTTCCTTGCTTCTTATTTTAGCGTTAACTTTTGTTTTTGTCAGAGTGCGACGTCAGTTAAATCGCGATCGGAAGGACTCTGCGCCACCTGTAACGATAGTCTTTTTCATACAATAAAGTGAAGAAAGGCAATAATGTAAAATGCAAATCGGTAATTAAATAAACAAAGAAAAGAAGTAAGAAGCGCAAAGCATTGCGAGACGACACATTTTTTTCCGATGGAACGTGTCTATATCCGTGGTGTCTCTATAAATTAATCTTTTTCTATCAGAGCCATTTTTTTTTTTTGCATTTTTTCAGAGGAATGACAAAATACGAAATAAATAATTTTTAAAGTGGCCCTGAAATCTACTCCATTTTTAAGCTTTGTTGATAGCTTCGTTTTATAGTTAGATTATATTAGTTACTGATGATAGAATTTATTTCTAACATTGTACCAGTACAGTGCCAGTATTAATTGACTTATCCTTTCTTTATTTGATCCCTTTATCCGTTCATTAATCAAATGCTTCCTGGGACAATACATAACTTCATTTATTTTAATGGATTTCCGTCTGTAAACGACCCCCTTGACATTGTTGTGGCTGATTGATAAAAATCGATTGATCATCACATTTCAGCCACGTTGCTCTGTCTTTTTTAGTTGAGCTCTTTCAAATTGAAAGCGAAGATTTTGTAAAAGAAATATAAACGTACGTCCGTGACAGTGAATTTGAAAAACATACAGAGAGAATTAGCGTACAGAAGCTTTTTAAACTATTTTATTCTACCATCGAAAAGTTTGATAACAAAAAGAAAGACGTCTTTGAGCAAAACTCACTTACATTTAACTCCAATAATAATGCAAACTATCACAAATTTTTTTGATTGACAAATTGGAAACTCGAATGATCATGAATCAAAAGAAAGACACAAAATACACTTTTAACACAATTGACAGTAATGTCGCAATCTGATTGGCCAATTTGCCGTCATCGATAAGAGTACAAACGATGCTTGCTTACGTCTCCGTGTCACGCAACGTGTCACGCACTGAAGGAATCGTTTCATTTGACGTCGATATTGAGGTAAGAAACAAATCCACGGTGGTTTAGCATGGTCTGTACTTTCATGGACAAAAATATCCGTCATCCCAAAGGTCCAAATTTGTTGCAGACTCAATTGGCGGCGCCTCGTGAGTCCACAACATTTTGACCACTATGATGACCACAATACATATATCTTAGACGTTTTGTTGTGTAGTATCGCTGAGTATTTTTACGAGTTGTGCCGTATTTTTACGAGCCCGTAGGGCGAGTCAAAATACAAATAACGAGTAAAAATACTCAGCGATACTACACAACAAAACGTCTAATAAGTTATTTATTATCCAACACGCCAAACTGTTATTTCAGTGCGGGCGAATTTCGCAGATGTTTATTTACGGGGAGTGCGTGACAGCAGTATGCGAAGCGGAACGGAATTGGCGCGTTGTTGTTTCTATTTTCTTCCTTAAATGAAGAAATTTTCTGGTCGTCAAGCTGTTTTTCTTCGTTCGATTCATCTAATGAACTTGGATCTATATTTGCCAGCCATTCTGATTCTTCGTCGTCGGAAATATGATTCAAATTGTCCGCCATTTTTTTTTCGTAACTACAATCCAATTCTTCGCTTGCGCGATGCGAGAAAACCTGTTTAGCCGGTACTACAATAGACGAGTACAAATACCGCGTGATATTTGTACTCGTCTATGGCGTTATTTGTACTCGTCTAGGTGTAGCTGGATAATAAAAACCTGTATCGATTTGTTAAGTGTACTCCATTCAACTGAAATTCCTTCTTAAATCCAATCCATTTCTAGACAACTGTAAGTTTTTCTGTAACCAAAAGTTCCTCGTCGATGGATGTTTGTGTTTCGCCTTCCTCGGGCAATCCTCTTTTAACGCAGGTCATGAATGAGGTGATCAATTCCCCTGCGATATGTATTGCACCTGCTGTGTAAAATGATATTGTATACGAGCCGACCTCGTCTGCCAATAGACCTGTTAGAAATAGGCAGATTACAATCAGATAAAACAAAGGGATAGTGCGAAGTGCTAAGAATGCAGTACATGCGCAGGCTTGGTTTTTGCATGGTCTTGTTCAGAAGCCTAAGTAGTAAGAAGCCTAAGCCGGTGGGATTAAAAAAAAAGATTGCTCCATTTCTTACATTTGAACAGCAATCAAAATTGTTAAATACTGGCGAAAAATAGTTCATGGCTGTTCTGACGCGGCGTTTCATATCAGAAAGAAGACTTGAAGTAAATTTGATTTCATTTCAGACTCAAACAAACAAAGTTTAAAGCCAGTGCAACGGAGCTCACCAGCTAAAGGAGAACCGAGGCCAACGCTTAAACCAGAGAACAGCATCATATAACCCCAAGCTCGGTTGACTTGGTGTCTTCCTGTGCATTCCAAGAGCAGCAGGGCATATTGGCCATTCATTGCTCCATCCATCAGTCCAAAAACTGTGAAAATCGCTACAATCGATCCAAACGATCTCGCTAATGGCAAACAAAGCACGCATAGCCCACTGATGATCATACCTCCCTGATACAAATGGAATCTGTTCAGGTACTCTAAATCTCCAAGCTTGCAGAATAAATGGCGACTTATGAAGGAAGTTATTGCCATGTAGGTGTAAAGCATGGAGGCTTTCTTTCCAGGTATTTGAAGCTCTTGTTTGCAATGCTTTACCTGAAATCATGACAAATGAATATTTGGTTTTAAGGCGAAATAAAATTCTCACATTGACAGCTTTCTTTCCTCCTAATACCCGTCTTCGACTTTTATATGTCGTCACGTTGCAAGGAGAGCTTCCTTCTTGGTCTCTCATAAGAGCGAAAAAATCACTGTGACAAGCTTTCAATCTATGTCTTTTTGAGTACTAAAGCAATTTTCAAATGATAGTTGGTATTAAGCATATTGTTTTTCCATGCTGCACTATGTACGTAATTGTTCAAAAATTCGCACAAATCAAGAGGCAAAACTAGCAGCAATCGATTAGTTGTCACCTCGCTTGCGTTTTCCCGCGCTCAGGCAATTTCCTTCTCATTACCTTGAGTACTTGATGGCAACCCTGAAAAACATCCTGTGTTCTGATTCGTTAACGGGATTAGGTTGGGTTTCAATCAACAATCGAAAAGTGACGCATAAAATTTTTTGACTGAATAAGAGACATGTACTTACTATGTGCATGATTGGTACTTGATAACTAAAATGAACAACAGATACCGATGTTGATATGATTACAAATGAATAGTTCCCACAAAGCGAGCTGCTTTGTTTTGTCGCTTCTTTCTCCCTCGGTTTGTTAGTCATTAATTTGCTATTGAAGGTTTCGTCGAGACCATTATCGAAGGGTACAAACACCATTGAACACAGGCCGCATACCAAATTTAGCAAACCGAACCCTCTTACTGCCCATCGCCATCCCCACGTATCTAGTAAAAACTGCGTGACTTGTGTGGTAACGAACATTCCAATGGCCGGTGCCGACGACACAATACCAACAGCCAAAGAGCGGCACTTAACAAAATACAGAAGAACCATCAAATAACAGGAGTTGTAAACCATCATATGCCCAATGCCTGATAAAACACCATACGCTAGGTACATCATCCATAGTTTAGAAGAGAACGAAGCCAGAAAAAAGCCGATTATTCCGAAAAACGAACCCAAGATGGCGGTGAACTTGTGGCCAAAACGATCGCTGACATGGCAACCTACAGGGCTGAAGATGCAACCACATGCCACGTACAAAGAACCAACCCATGCTGGAAAGAAAATAAATCTGTGAATAGCATTCTTAACCTTCGGATTAAAAAGGACCAACTTATTCTATCATTTTCTCTCATTGTAACCAACTAATTTTGAAAGTATTCAGGCTTCTACGGGGTTCGATCCCAGGCTACCCAGATGCCAGTTCGTTACTTGGTCATTTTCTCTCATTGTACATACAACTCATTGTATCTCTTTTAGTTTTATCCATTTTAATTCCCCTTCGCTTGATATTTATCGAAAAACTACGCGTTTTTCAGTCTTGTATAGCTGAAACTTTCATGTTGTTTCCTTGACGTTGAAGGTGTCAGACATATTAGGGACTTTAAGCAAACCACGACGGCTACGGCAACGAGAACGTGGAAAGATCTAAGTAGCAGAACAATAGCCCAGCACGTGCGGTTCAAAACTTTGTACATTTCTTAGCCGTCCTTTGCAAAACAACAACGTGAAATCACCAAAATTTGCCTCGTCTGCGAAGCGAAACCGCGACGGCAAATTATTTTAATTTACATTTGGAACTCAACGCTACTTTTATACGGTATCCAAATTATTTCGTTACTCCCACCGACGCAGCCCCAAACAGTTTCTTTCGAAACTATCAGCCTTTAACCATTTTCCTTTGTTTGGTAGAGCTTGATCATCCCGTGACAATGCTGTCCCTTTTTCTTTCTTGGAGAAGTGCAATTCAAACATTCGCTGGACTGCCTGTGGTTTAATCTGTTCCTTAACAATTCTTGGCGGGACCACATATTCACGGGGTGATGAGGAGCCTTCTTGTTGATCAACATATATTCAGATGCACGCAATGCTTTGAGAAGAGAAGATAGGGCCATTTATGTACCATCGAAGGAGCGAGTATACTGCGTATGGATCTGAATCCTCAACGTAAACAATTTCTTTAGGTCGTAAGGCACTTGGACGATTTAATACAATTAGAATTAGAAGCCCCACTTTGATGTCTTCCGTGTAGGGGGTATTTCGGGACTAACTTTTTTTTAATGAGACATCTTACTAGTCACGTCAGGCTGTAGTATTTATATTTCGTTGGGGTCCACTGGAATGGTAGGGCGTGTGAATGTTCTGGGTAAGTCTAACAAAACATCTTCCTAGCTGGCTACCACTAATCCTTCGATAGCCTTTATTCTCACGCTACGTGTTCCGTGGATCGTTGTAAGAATTAGGTCAGTGTTACTCCCTTCAACACCGAGTAACTTTTCTGATTTCTCCTTGACGAATGTTCCGCCACTGGCATTGTCCAGCACGGCGTAAACTTTTATCCTCTTGGCTGGGTTCTCCTAGTGAACTAACCAGACAGGCAATATCCCCATGTTGATTGGTACGTCTCCAGGTTCGATCATGTTGCAGGTTGCAGTGTGACTTGTACTAACTCAAGGTTTGTCTCCAGATTGATTCTTGTCACTCGTGTCGTTCGATCTCTTTAGTCAATCGTTGGGTGGTGCTAATTGCAAGTTTTACATTTCAGCCTTTCCTGGCAGTGCTTTGCAATGCGCTGATCACTAAAACAACCAAAGTATACCTTCTTCTCCAAAACAAAGTTTCGCCAATCACTCAAAGATTTCTTCAAAAAGTATTCGCACTCATTCAGATTGTTGCATAAATACCACGTTTCTTGTCTTTTTCTCAACTTAAAGGGAGTCGGCTTGTCTCGCTCTTCGCGATTTTACTTGCCAACACTTTCTTCCGAGAAAACAGGATATATGGCAAGTTCGGCTTTTTCTTGCACAAATTGTGAAAACTCCTCAAAGTCAGCGATTCTTCCTTTGACACTCATGGTCCCACTGTTGTTTTCGGTCCATTTACTTCTGTGTCGAGCTAACTTTTCCAACTGTTGTCTTAGTACGTGAGCAGTGTTTAAATCACCCATATGTGATCTGCCTTTCATCGTGGACTTTACTTGATCAAGGGTGATAGAGAAATCTTGGAGAGCTGAGCCATTGTTAGGTGTGATTGGTGTCCGGGAAGATAGCTTCTTGATATGGGCGTTAGCTATCTTCAATGGATCGCCGAATTTTCTCTTTAACAGCCCCTTAGCTTCTTCTTAGCATCCTTCTGATTTAGACAGCTGTGAATAA